TCAACCAGTACAATCTTCTTTTTCTCCACTTAATTTTTTTTTTTGGCTATCATCCCATCATAGTCAACTCACACTCACACCCTCCATCTATGTATACTTCTATTAACTGTCTTATAGTAATAAGGTTCTTAAGAGTTTCAAGTATCATCTTGCCATATAGAAATATAGAGTTTAACCCTATTGAATCTCCTATGTTTTCTCTTTCCTGTTTATCTTTTTATGTTTCCCTTGAGTCTTGTATTTGAAGATCAAATTTTTTTGTTCAGTTCTGGTCTTTTAATTAGGAATGCTTGAAAGTCTTCTACTTCATTTAATATTCATTCCCCCACTGAAGGATCAGTTTTTCTGAGTAGATTCTTGGTTGTAATCTTAGCTACTTTGCCTTCCAGAATATCATATTCCAAGCCCTCTATTCCTTTAATGTAGAAGCTGCTGAATCCTGTGTAATCTTGGCTGTGGCTCCACGATGTTTAAATTATTTATTTCTGGCTGCTTGCATTATTTTCTCATTGACCTGATAATTCTGGAATGTGGCTATAATATTTCTTGGAGTTTTCATTTTGAGATCTCTTTCAGGAAGTAATTACTGGATTCTTCCATTAACTATTTTACACTCTGATTCTAGGATATCAGGGCAATTTTCCTTACCATTTCTTGAAATATGATGTCCAGTCTCTCTCTCTTTTTTTTTTATCAGAGCTTTCAGGTAGTCCAATATTTCTTAAATTATCTCTCCTTGATCTATTTTTCACGTCAGTTGTTTTTCCAATGAGAAATTTTCACTTTTTCTTCTAATTTTTTTCATTTTTTGATTTTGTTTTATCATTTCTTAATGTCTGATGGAATTACTAGATTCTACTTGCCCAATATTAATTTCTTGGGAATGATTTTCTCCAGTTAGCTTTTGTACCTCCTTTACAATTCTATTTTTAGTGAGTTGTTTGATGAATTTGTATATATCTTTATCCACTTTGGTGCTCCTCTTACCAAGTTGTTTAGTCATTTTTCATGATTCTTTTGCATTACTCTCATTTCTTTTTCCATTTTTCTTTTACTTTTCTTATTTGCTTTTTTAAAATCCTTTTTGAGCTCTTCTAGGAGTTTTTTTGGGGGCTGAGAGCAGTTCACATTTTCCTTGAGGCTTTGCATGTAGTTCTTCTGATATTGTTGTCTTCTAAGTTGTGCCTTGATCTTCTGACACCACAGTAACTTTCTACAGTCAGGTTATTATTATTATTATTGCCAATTTTTCTGCCTATTTTGTGACTTTTAAAGTTGAGCTCTGCTCCAGGATGAAGAGAACACAGTTCCAAGCTTCTTGCACCAGGGTTTGGGGACTTGTTGCCAGCTTGCATTGTGCCTCAGGGTCTAGGTGCTGGTTTGCACTGCTCTGCAGGAGGTCTCCCTGTTGGCTGGCTCTGGGACTATGGTTTTGCTACTGGTCTGTTCTAAGGGCAGTGTCTCACTGTTGGTCTGCTTCAGACACCCTGAAGTGTAGCCTGCCATCGACTTGCTCAGGAACCACACTCCCCTCCAACCCCATTGAGTTAGACATTTCCTGCTGACCTTCCAAGGTGTTCTAGGATGGTAAGCTGCTTCATTGCTCCAAAATTAGTTCTGAGGCATTACTGCAAGGTAGTTTGGAGGGGAATTTGGGAGGGTTCAGGTGAGTTCCTGCTTCACTCCCCCGTCATGGCACTGGGAAGTCAATGATTAATACTTTTTAAAATAGTTTGAGATTTGGTACTGCTAGGTCACTTTCCTTAACATTTTTTTCATTGATTTCCTTGATACTCTTTACCCATTATTCTTCCAGATGAATTTTTTTTCTAGCTATATAAATTTTTTTGGTTTGATCAGTATGACACTGAATAAGTAAGTTAATTAAGGTAAAATTTTCAATTTTTGTTACATTGAGCAATTAGTGTCTATCCATGAGCAATTAATATTTTTCCAATTGTTTATAGCTGTCTTAATTTGTGTAAAATTATTTTTAAAATTTTGTTCACATGGTTCCTCAATTTGAATTGGTATAGAATCCCAAGTATTTTACATTGTCCGCAGTTATTTTAACTGGAGGTTCTTTTTCTTCTTCCTGCTGGATTTTCTTGGGAAGACATAAAAATGCTGATGACTTATGTGGTTTTATTTTATATCCTGCTACTTTGCTGAACTTGTTAATTGTTTCAACTAGTTTTTTAGTCAATTCTCTAAGTGTACCATCATATTATCTACAAAGAGTGATAGTTTTGATTCCTCATTGACTATTCTAATTCCTTCAAGTTCTTTTTCTTCTCTTATTGCTATAGGTAGCATTTCAAATACAATATTGAGTAATAGTGGTGATAATGGGCATTCTTGCTTCACACATGATTTTATTGGGAAGGTTTCTAGTTTATCCCCATTACAGATAATGCTTGCTGATGGTTTTAGATAGATACTTATCATTTTCATGAAAGTGCCGCTAATTCTGAAGCCTTGTAGCATTTTTAATAGAATAGGTGTTATATTTTGTCAAAAGCTTTTTCTGCATCTATTGAGATAATCATATAATATCTGTTGGTTTTGTTGTTGATGTGGTAGATTATGTTGATTTTCCTAGTGGTGAACCAGCCCTATGTTTCTTGTATAAAGCCCAACTGGTCGTAGTGTATAATCTTTGTGACATATTACTGTAATCTCCTTGTTAGTATTTTATTAAAATTCTTTGAAACAATATATATTGGGGAAATTGTTCTATAGCTTTCTTTCTCTGATTTTTTCTCTTCTTGGTTTAGGTATCAGCACCATATTTGTGTCATAAAAGGAATTTCATTCTTTGCCTATTTTCCAAAAATTTTATATAGTATTGGAATTAATTGTTCTATCAATGTTTGGCAGAATTCCCTTGTGAATCTCTCTGCAGATTTTTTCTTAGGGGCACATTTTTGGCTTGTTTACTTTCTTCTAAGACAAGGTTATGTAAGTATTTTTTCCCCTTGTTTGTTAATCTAGGTAGTTTATATTTTTTAAAATATTCATTAATTCCACTTAGATTGTCAGTTTCACTGGCATATAATTGGGCAAAATAGCCCTTAAGATTGTTTTAATTATATCTTCATTTTTGATATTGTTACTTGTTTTCTTCTTTCTTTTTTAATTAAACTAACCAATAGTTTATCTATTTCCCCCCATAAAACCAGCTCCTAGCTTCATTTATTAGTTCAATGGTTTTCTTACTTTCAGTTTTGTTAATCTCTCTTATGATTTTCAGGATTTTCAATTTAATGTTTGATTGAGGATTTTTAATTTGTTCTTTTTTTTAGTATTTTCAGTTGCTTGCCAAAATCATTGACATGTTCTTTCTTTTATTAATATATGCATTTAGAGATATTAAATTTCCCTTCAGTACTGCTTTGGGTAAATTATGTAAATTTTGGTATGTTGCCTCATTATTTTCTTTAATGAAATTATTGATTGTTTTTATGATTTCTTCTTTGACACACTCATTCTTTATGATTGTTATTTAGTTTCATATATATGTATATATATATGTATGTATGCATGTATGTATGTGTATGTATATATATATATATATATATATATATATATATATATATATATATATATATATATATATATATATATTTCCCTGTCCCTTTATCAATGTAATTTTTTTTACATTATAGTCTGAAAAGGTTGCATTTAATATTTATGCTTTTTGGTCCTCCATTCCTTTCTCTCACCCTCCCTCCATCCATTCAGGTGCTAAGTATTGTTGATTTGAGCTTTGTAAAATCTCTTATCTATGCCCCCTTCTCTATTTTGACAAGGCCACCACCCTTTTACAGGTTTTCATCATCACATGCTTAGACTATTGTGATAGCTTGCTGGTGGACCTTCTTGCCACAAATCTCTGTCCACTCCAGTCCATCCTTTAATTAGGTGCCAAAGTAATCTTCTTAAAATACAGATCTGACCATTTCACCATTCCACTCAAAAACTCTAGAGACTCCCTATCACCTTGAGGATCAAACATGAAGTCCTCTGCATGGTGTTCAGAATCCTTTATAACCTGTACCTCCTACCTCTCCACTCTTCTTACTTTGCACCTTCCCCACACAAATGTGTTTTCTGCAGTACAAGGATATTGGTCTACTTCCTATTCCTCACACAAGATACTCCATCCCCTAACTCAAGGAATTTTTACTTACTGTCTCTGATGCTGGAATTTCTGGAATTCCTTCAAGTCTTGGCCGAAATTCTCACCTTCTATGCAAGGAGACTTTCCTGACACCCTTAATGCTTAGTTTTTTCTCTACTGATTATTTCCCACTTATATGTATCTTGTTTGTATGTAGTTCTTTGCATGTTGTACTACCATTAGACTGTAAGCTTCTGGAGAGCAAAGATAATCTTTTATCTTTCTTTGTACCTCCAACACTTAACACAGTGTCTGGCTCAGAGTAGGTGGTGCATAATAAATGCTTGTTAACTGATTGACTGTAGCAAATGAAAAGATAACTAAAAGGAAGCCAAACTTGAGGTAATTTTAAAACCACTGAAGGTCCTGTTGAATAGATAATGAAAAATATCTCCATCCTCATATTAGAGATGCAGGGAACTACTAGGACTTCTAGAACATGACAGAATATAGATGTAATCACTGTATCTGATGCTTTTGCTTAATTGTTTTTCTTTGTTACAAGGGAAGGTGCAACGGAGGTAAAAATGGGAGCTTCTTTCTAAAAATAGCTGTTATAAACATGTTTCCAATAGAATACGTATTTTTAAATGAATTGTGGGAAAACACCAGCATTGTTATCCCTAAATCTTATAGCCACCAACAAAATTCTCAATATTTTACCTCATAAGTATAGCTCAAAAATGAGTGAAGTGTGATATCTACAAATTACTAATTTTTGTATATTTGTTTCAATAAGCACAAAAGTAAAACCATAGTACATATTTTTTAAATGTCTAAATTGTTAATATAGGTGATAATTTATTGGTCTTTATAGATTTATCATATGAAGCAGCCAGGAGATCAACCTGGACAAGTCATAGTCACCCTACACAGTCAAAAGGTAGGGTTTTTTTCCCACTCTCATGTGGATTTGAATCTTTGTGCTTCAGGTCCATAGCATCATTTAAATAACTGGAGATTTCTTAAGTCTATTCATGTTTTAAAATGACCTCCCTAATTCCTCTCTATTACTTTCTATGATTTCTATATTTTAATATCACAGTAGATAGATAAAAAAGTATTATGTGTCAGGAACTCTACTAAGCACTGGGACACAATTAAAAGCAAGTGAAACAGTCTCTACCCTCATGGAGATTACATTTCAATGGGGTAAAACATTACACAGAGGAGCGATGGAAAGAGATAGGGAAGTGACACACTTGGGTACGATGTGGCAGTCTAGGAGATAGCAGTGGAGCCTGAAAAAAGTCAAGATGAGAGAAAGGCATTGAACTGAAATTGAAATTGAATGACTGAAATCCCCTCCAAAATGAGAATGAGCCATGAAAGTGTAGAGAAAAACTCTAAGGCAGGGATTTCCCAGGGTGGTGATGTGGCAATAAAGAAAATCTTCATCAGAGATTTCTTTCTATATTTATCTCTATTTTCTTTAGTGATATATGGCAATAACTTAGTACCTTAATATTCACAACTGTGGTTTTGATCATTTGAGTTTAGCGGAGGAATTTATCATGAGAAAGTCAGAATGTGGTTCTCAGGCATAAAATATAGGTAATTATCTTTTTTTTTCTCCAGTTACTCAGCCATCTTCTTCAACAGTTCCCAAAACAGAAGACCAGCGTCCCCAGTTAGGTATGTTTCAGTATCTTAGAACCTGGGTGTCTTTGAAAATGTAAGCAACTTCAAGAGAAGACTAATAACTTGCATACCTACTTTATGAATATTATTTCCATAAACTAAAGATAGTCCATTAAGCCTACTTTTGTGTTGTGAATTAAATAAATATTTCAGATACATAGAACAAGCAAAAAATTACAAGGAAAGTTACAAGCAAAAAATTCCAAGTTTCCCAAAAGTAGTACAATCTTAAATAGTTTGTTAATAGTTTTAATCCCGTAACTACACCAAAGTTTTGTAATGCAATTCCAAGTTACCAGAAACAAATTTAAAAAAGAAAAATCACACATGCTTTAAGAGTCTCAAATTGCTATAGAACTTTGAGAGGCATCATGGTTAATGACCAGACCTTGACAATGAACCATGATATATTTATCTTTGTATGTTCCCTATTATCTAGCACAGTGATCTGTCCCCAGTGGGTATATAATATTTGTTTACTAACTGAACTATTTATCAAAAAGTCATGTTTGTGTCATATTCTTTGTTTTCTTCTTTTCATTTTTGGCATAGATCCGTATCAGATTCTTGGACCAACAAGTAGCCGTCTTGCAAATCCTGGTAAGATGCTGGTGCTACTTTTGTCTCTCAGTACAAGAATCAGAATTTATGTGTTACAAGGGACTTCAGAAGCAAACATATACCCATTATAACATCCTCAACAAGTGGTTGTCCAGCCTTTCTTTGAAGAATTCTAAGGAGGGAGAAAATACCTTATCTTGAGGCAGTCCATAGAACTTTTAGACAGTTCTATTGTTAAGGAAGTTTTTCTAGGCAATGACTCTAAATTTGCCTTTTTGAAATTTTTACCTATTTGGGTTCTGCTTGCCGGAACCAAACGAAACAAATCTAATTGGTCATCCACATGACAACTCTTTAAACAACACAGCTATCATCACTCCTTGATTTTCTTTTCTCCAGATTAATCATACCCAGATCTTTCTTCCAATCCTCATTTGGTGGGGACTGAAGATTCACTCCCATCCTGGTTGCCCTCTTCTCAGCGCTTTTCACTTTAGCTGGGTATAGTATAGAAGACTTTCAGATATTTCTGATGAAAATACTAGAGCCAACTAGAAAATTTGCCATTCCTGTAGGAATCATAAGAAGTCATAAGAGATTAAAAAAAGTTTGCTATTTCTTTCTCCAGCTTATTTTTATAGATGAGGAAACTGAAGCAAACAGGGTTAAGTGACTTGCCTAGGATCACACACCCAGTAAGTGTCTGAGGCCAGATTTGAACTCAGAAAGATGAGTCTTCCTGACTGGGGGCCCAGCACTCTATCCACTGTGTCATGTAGCTGCCCCTTATTGTTATAACAATAAGACAAGAAAAGTAAATTGAAGGAATGAAAAGAAGAAACAAGGAAAGAAAACATTTGCCTTTTGTTAATGACATGATGTGTTACTTAGAAAATCCAAGAAAGTCAACTAAAAATTAATTGAAACACTACCTGCAACAAAGTTTCAGGATATAAAATAAGCCCACACCAATCATTAGCATTTCTGTTTATTACCAACAAAATTCAACAGGAAGAAAGAGAAATTCCATTTAAAATAATTTTAGATAGTATCAAATATTTTACTCTACTTGCCAAAGCACACACAGAAGCTATATGAATAGAAATAAAAATGATCTTAATCATTGGAGAAATATTAATTGCTCATGGGCAGGCCAAGCCAATATAACAAAAAGACAATACTACCTCATTCAGTGCCATATCAAACGAAGTACCAAAAAATTGCTTTATATAATTAGAAAAAGAATAACAAAATTCATTTGGAGAAATAAAAAGTAACAAATGTCAAAGGAATCAATAAAAAAAAATGGGAAGGAAGTGGACCTAGCACTACCAGATATCAAACTATATTACAAACCTATAATTTGAATTGAGTTGTCATCAAAATAATTTGGTACACATAAGAAATAGAGGTTGATCAGTAGAACAGGTTAGGGATACAGAAGCAAATACAGTAATCTAGTGTTTGGTAAATCCACAGATCCCAACTATTAAAGGCAGAACTCTTATTTGATAAAAAAAAAAATTGAGGAAAACTAGAAAGTAGTTTGCCAGAAACTAGACACAGAGCAAGATCTCACAGAATATACCAAGATAAGTTCAAAATTGGCATATGATTTAGATATAAAGAGGGATAACATAAGCAGATTGGTGAAGCAGGGAAAAAATTACTTGTTGGATCCATGGCTAGGGGAAGAGTTTATGACCTAATAAGAGGTTAATGAGAAGTAAAATAGATAAAATTTCGATTATGTCAAACTCAAGTTTTCACAGAAGCAAAACCAATGCAGCTAAAATTAGAAGAAAAGAAGGAAATGGGGGGGGGAATCTTTGTAGCAAGTTTCTTTATAAAGATTTCATTTTTAAATATATTGGGGTCTGAGTCAAATTACAAGATAAGCTCCATTTCCCAAATGATGAATGGTCAAAAGGAAGGAATAAGCAGTTTTTAGATGAAAAAGTTCAAGCTATCAATAGTCATATAAAAATGCTCTAAATCACTAATAATTAGAAAAGCACACATTAAAACAATTTTGAAGTGCCACCTTATACCCATCAGATTGGCTAAAATGACAAAAAGGGAACATGACAGAGGATGAACTGGATATGGGAAAAACAAGTATTTTGATGCACTGTTGGTGGAGCTGTCCACTACTCCAACCATTGTGGAAAGCAATTTAAAACTGTGCTCCAAAGGCAATTAAACTGTGCATACCCTTTGAACCAACATTACTGAAACTAGGGCTATACCTCAAAGAGATCAAAGAAAGAGGAAAAGGACTCACTGTACAAAAATATTTATAATAGTTCTTTTTGCGATGGCAAAGCATTAGAAACTAGTGGATTGCTCATCAATTGGGGAATGACTAAAATTAATGCCATATGAATGTGATTATCCTGTAAGAAATGATGAAGGGAATGGTTTCAGAAGGCTTGTATGAATTGTATGGTGTAAAGTAAACTGAACAGAACCAGGAGATCAATCTACACAGTAGTAATAATATTGTAAAGATAGTCAACTTTAAAAAATTTAGTAACTCTGATCAACACAATCAACACAACCACAATTCCAAAAGCCTCATGATTAAACATGCTATCCTTTTCAACAGAGAATTGATTAACTCAGAGGGCATACTGAATTGAAGTATATTGTTTTTCATCTTTCTTTTTCTTGCCTTTTTTGGGGGGCAATGAGGGTACTGGCTAATACAGAAATTTGTAATAAGATTTGTTTTCCTTGCCTTTTATATGGTAGGGAAGATGGTAGGGATGAGGAGAGAATTTAGAACTAAAAAACAATAAAAGGTCTCTGTGTTTAAAAAAAGAAAGAAAAAGGAAAGAAAAAATTTCAAGTACAGTTGCTAAACTTTGAACGTAATTGCATAGTAGCAATTATATGGTCAATTCATTAAAAAACCAAGGGAACCACAACTGTATAGATCTGAGTAAGGGGTCCTCCCTCTAGGTGTTCACTTATAGTTGAATTTTTAATTGCATTTACCATCTTTGCTCTGGGCAGCTAGGTGGCACAGTGGATAGAATGCTGTGCCTGTAGTCAAGAAGACTAATCTTCCTGAGTTCAAATCTGGCTTTAGACACTTACTAGCTGTGTGACCCTGGGCAAGTCACTTAACCCTGTTTGCCTTAGTTTCCTCAAATGTAAAATGAGCTGGAGAAAGAAATTGCAAACCACTCCAATATCTTTGCCAAGGTAACCCCCAAATTCATTAAGAGTTGGACACAACTCTAAAACTATTGAACAACAAATCTCTGTTCTCTATATTTATCACTATCTCTCTTTGCTTAGGAAGACTACTTACAATGATTCATTGTTTTACAGGTTTTGGGGTAGGGCTGGGGAATTTGGGCCTTTTAAATATAACACAATCAGCATTACAATAAAAGAGGAATTTTTTTTTATTTTCATATATTTGGTTAAATACTATGAATGATGATATGATTTGAAAAAAAAACTTTTTCCCCCTAAAATTTCCTATTTTAACTAGTTTATTTTTGGTTCTTGGGAAAGTTTTTATTTCTGCGATGTAACAAAACATCATATTAGAATATGTTATATCAGAATTCATGTTGTTTAAATATATTTATTAGAATTATATTAGAATTTACTGCCATTAAATTTTATTTGCAAATTTTAAGAGTTTGGTTTCTTAAATCTTACTTTCATTTTTTTGTTTTGACTGATTTTATTGGATACAACAAAAATAGAATTATGTAATTATTGCTATTTACATTTTTTCAGCTTTTCTTACAAAAATAGAAAACAATGAGGACTTTGAAATGTCAAGCCTTTACAAATATATTTTAAAGTGCACTTCCAATCAGTTAAGCATCTGTTAAGTGCTTTCTATGGTATGATCATGATTCTAAATATAAGAATACAAATGCAAAGAATGAAACAAAATAACAACTAAATATATAAGCGTATACAGAATAGTTATAAAGAGAAAAAAAAACCAGTTAGGTAGTTAGGGAAGGAAGGCATGGGCAGTTAAGGAGGATTAGGAAAGATTTCATGTAGAAGATTGTACTTGAGCCATATATTGAAGGCAGAGATACATTATATGATTCAAGGTACTTTTCATACATAGGAGAATGGAGAGTACAGGGCACAGAGAAAAGAGATGGAATGTTATATGTGAGGAACATAGAATGGGCCAGTTGGCTATATTCTTAAGTACAGAATGTGGAATAATATGTGATGAGGCTAGAAAGATAGATTAGGAAATGCCTGCAAAGCTAGACAGAGTAATTTATATTTGATCCTTGAGGCTAAAGGGAGACATGGTATTTTATTCAGGAGAAGAGGGACATGGTCAGATCTAAACTTTAGGTTGTCAGCTCTATGAATGATAGACTAGAATGTGAAGAGGTTTGAGACAGGAAAACCAATTAAGGAGATATTGCAATACTCTAATAAGGAGATGATAAGAACCTGAACTAACCTGGTTTCTATGTGAGTAGAGAGATAGGATCAGATATAAGATGTGTTGTGGAAGGAAAACCTGAAAAATTTGAGAACTGATTGACTATGTAAGATAGAATGAGGCAACAAGGATGATGTAAAGATTACGAATCTGGAAGACTGAAAAATAATGGTACTTCTAACACAATTAGAGAAGTTTAGGAGAAAGTTGGATTTGGGGAAAAAAATTAAGTTCCATTTTAGTCAAAACTTTGGTCAACAGTCTAAACATTATCTAACAAGGAGTTCTCTCAGCTTCATAAGAGGTTTGAATAAAGTAGATCAGCATGAATGTCAACAAAAAGAGCCAATGGTAGAATGTTTCTATTTTTTAAGTGACTTAATCTCATCGATTTCTCCCTTCCCCCCTCCTACTCCAGGGAGTGGACAGATACAGCTTTGGCAGTTCCTTCTGGAGCTTCTATCTGACAGCTCAAATTCCAACTGCATCACTTGGGAAGGCACCAATGGAGAATTCAAGATGACAGACCCTGATGAAGTTGCCCGTCGCTGGGGAGAACGCAAAAGCAAGCCGAACATGAACTATGATAAGCTTAGTCGTGCATTACGTTACTACTATGACAAAAACATTATGACTAAAGTTCATGGCAAGCGTTATGCTTATAAATTTGACTTCCATGGAATTGCTCAGGCATTGCAGCCCCATCCTCCTGAATCTTCTTTGTACAAGTATCCATCAGACCTCCCTTATATGGGCTCCTATCACGCTCATCCTCAGAAGATGAACTTTGTTGCTCCTCATCCTCCTGCTTTGCCTGTGACATCTTCCAGTTTCTTCTCTGCCCCTAACCCATACTGGAATTCATCAACTGGAAGTATCTACCCCAATACCAGGCTTCCAGCCAGCCATATGCCTTCCCATTTGGGGACTTACTACTAAAGAAAAAATGACATTCCTCTACATTATAAAATTTCCCATTGAGTTTTTATAAAGTCTGCTAGAGAGAACATGAATCAAAAGTGGAATGAAAGGAATGAAAAAGGTTGACTATATTTCAGGCTGGGGGTGAGTGTGGGAGGTGGAGAAAGAGATCAAACAGTCCTTTAGGGATAGGTAATTAATAAAATTAATACTTAAAAAAGCAAAGATTATGCTAAAATGTAATATGGAACAATCATGAAAGACAATGTAAGTTGAAGCATGAAGTGATCATGATCAAAAGAAATGTGGCTTTAATAAGTTTATAAGCTCCAGTGTAAAGTTTGGTATCCACATGCTAACTGGGACTATACTACAATATTAGGATAATACAATATTGATCTAACATACAATATATGAATTCATTTTTAAAACTCTGCCTGTATTTAAAATAGAAATATATATATACATATATAGTGTGTGTGTATATATGAATTTATACACATACTTACACACAGATTCAGACTGGTTTATTGTAGAAGCCAATGTGTGGAATACAATGGCACTTTCTATTTTGATTAAAATCAAGATGGAGGGCTATCAGCTATTTCAAACTGTGAAGAATCCTCATCATTTCAAATTTTTATGATCCAAAGAGTAGGACTGAGAATGTGTATAAAAGACAAGTGTATGATTGTAGAAAAAGAATCTGCATCTGCAACAGGACATTAGTGAGGAGCAGAAGAAGAGAGCAACAAAGAGTGAGGAAAGAAACAAGTAGAAACTGAAAATGTTAACATTGGACTTTGGAGAATGATTTGTTAGGATATGAGATAAAACATTATCAGTGTTACGTCATCCCTAGTATACAGAGAGGACACTGCTAATCTTGAAGGGGAAAGTAGTGTGAAATTCAGAAATCAGATTGCACATCATTTTTTAAAGTTTTTTTTTTAACTGGAATTATCTGATATTTAGAAGAAACAGTCAGGACCTCATCATTATCTTGGGGCATAAGGTAAGAGACAGCCTTGTTGACTGTCATTATCAGAAATCACATCGATGTTTTGGTTAAGTGGGCATCACTTTTCCTTTTTGAGTCACAAATGCTGTGCGTTTGTAAGAATGAAGTATACAAGTCAGTGGGTTTTTTCCTCTTTATTACATAATAATTATATAACTTATGCATTTATACACTACGAGTTGATCTCGGCCAACCAAAGACAACCATACACACGTGCGTACATACACACACACACATACGTGCACACATGTGTGCACTCATGCACACACACACACACAATGGATAATCAGAAATATCGTGGCCTTGAATTTTAACTCAGTATGCTTAATGTTTACAATATGAAGTTATTAATACTTAGAATGCAGAGTGTACATAATAAAATAAGCTTGGGCTGCCTTGATGATTCTTATTTATATAGTTGTCTGCATTTTTAGTCACCAACTTTCTTCATCATGATAATTGGTTAAAAATGTTAATCTTCATATTTGTCCCTTAAGAAAGTGAGAGATAAATAGAGGACTCAAATGCTTTTTGACTGAAATCATATCACAATTCAATCCTTACAATAATTTTATGCCCCATAACTGTGAAAATTTTGACCAAATTCTTCCTATCTGTTCCTATGCTGCTAGCATGTTCATAATCTCCTCTCTAGAGTAGTAGGAAAAAGGAAAGAGAAGTCTGAAACTGAGGAATGATTTTTTGAAACAAAAATTTCAGTTCTGTCTCCATCACAAATCTCTACATGGTTCTTAATATAATCATAAAGTGTTAACTGAACCATGAAAAACCTGCTGCACTTAAAGAAACTATATCATTATTAGTAAATAAAATGTGTTACAAAAAACCCCATTATTCCTCAGTTTATAACAGTAGGGGGCAACATCTTAATGTGTTATTTGGCTTTTTCCATTGATTGAAATGAGCTGATTACCTCCGTCTTTTATACCACAGCAATTTAGGAACCAGAGTTCAGGCTTTAGAAACCTCTAACCTCATATTTATTAGTAGCTGTGCTCAGTAGACACTGTTTCCAAGATCCAGTATACCAATGGACTTGTGATTACACCAATGTGAGTATTTCCACATTGTATTTGCTGGTCCTCTTCAATATCCTCACTTATATTTACCATAGAGTATCAACCCTTGTGTAAAGTAGGGAGAGAGGGGAAAGGGAGGTGGGAAGCAAGACTGGTGAGATCTCTCAGTTCTCTAGTAAATTCAACTTATCTTGACTTGTGTGAAGAGTAAACCCTGAACACAATGCATAATTGGGCTATTTCATAGTAGTTCCAGAGCTACTCATAGACTTTGTGAGGTCTTTCACCATAAGGAAAACTTAGTTGTCAGACCTGTTTGCTGTGAAGTCTTGGCAATAATTCCTAAAGATTACATAGGATCATAGCCTCCACCATCATATTTGTATTGAAAATAACTCCATTCTGCTCTAGCTTGTACCTTGATCCTATATCATTAAAAAAAAACCAAACTAACAACAAGGGATATGAAAACTGTACCACTGAAAAGGGTTGATCACTTACTATGTCAGAAAAACAAGTCAGATGTGCCTGCATTCTGCATATAGTTGTAAATTGTACTCTCCTGGTAATTCAGCGCCAATATTTCAAGACCATTTCATAAGCAAAACAATAAAAACAAAATAAGATCAAATTCAATTTTACAAATGTTTTAAGTTTCCTGACTACATACCCCCCACCAAATTATTTGCCAAGTTTGATGTAAATACGAGCAATGATGCAGCATTTTTGAAGACCTTGATAATGCATGTCCTCAATAAATAACCCTTTATCCCTGCTTTTAAAATAATTTCTTCACCTATTTATGTCATGTTCAAATGTCAAATTGTTTCTCAGTATTTTATTTTTTCATTTCAAATCCCCTAGGAATTGATTTGAGATTCTTACATGATCATTGGAAGCTTAAAAATTTTTTTTTCCTATTGCCTTTTTCCAGAAGCATCTGTTTGTGTTGGTTTCCTGGACAATTGATCATTGCTAGAAAGATTCCTCTTTTGCTGTCTTAAGTGGTGTTTTCATTTCTCTATCTAAACAAATCCTTATTTATTCTAAAATGTCATTGAACATTAAATTTATTCTTGCCTAATTGTAGGACAGATAAAGTATTTCAATTTGTGATGGAGTGATTTCGAAGAGTCTGGCACAATTAGATCTTTCTCTAAACTGCTAGCACACTTCTACACAATTTGATAGTACCTGTCATCTTGAAGTGTGTGGGCTATAATAAAGCTTTCTTTTTATCTAAAAAATAACATTTAAATATGAAATATAATCATATGCTTAGGCTTCTGATAAATGGGTGCTATTGAGGGGAAAGTAATGTTCATTGTCTTGTTGTCAGCAAAACTTCCACTTAAATCTTGGAAATACCATAGCATGGATTTGCTAGAAAATTATCAGTGTATAGAAAACAAAATGTGCTAACCTAAAACTTTTCTACTTTTGATTTGGAATCATAACCCTGGGAAAAAGAGATTCTAATATATATATATATATATATATATATATTTTGTGTGTGTGTGTGTGTGTGTGTGTGTGTGTGTGTGTGTGTATTTAGGCAATTGAGGTTAAGTGACTTACCCAAGGCCACAAAACTAGTAAGTGTCAAGTGTTTGGTCTGAGGTCGGATTTGAACTCAGGTCCTCCTGACTTCAGGGCTGATGCTCTATCCACTGTGCCACCTAGCTGCCCCTACAATATATTTCTCTAACCATATCTAAACAGTAGCCATTCTTATGATTGTCTTTTGAGACCTCAGAAAGCTTCTCTTTCACTTTGTTCTTTCACCTAGCTATTCACTATGTCCTGACACTTGGGGTTCTGGTGTAAGAAGGAAAAAATCTCACCAGTAAAATTATCCCTTAACTCCTGACAATGATAAAATATTGTTTTTAGAAATTCGGTTTTCCAGCCATCTGCACCATTAGAATGAAGTCATAAGAACTCATATAAAGAGGCTAAGAATTTTGAACTACTCAAATGTACTTTGTAAGTTCAAAATTGTTTTTTTTTCTGAATGTTACTCTAAAATATCTAGTCCAAATAATTTAAAAACAATATAAAGTAAGACTCACCAAACAAACAGTTGAAAATTCATAGTTATTTATATTACAGAGGAGGAAAATGTTATGTTATATTCTTTCTTTTATGCTATGTTCAAGTATTTATATGTCAGTTGTAGGACTACATATATTATATGATAAGTATTTTAGGTAATGATAGTGAGGAAATGCATAGTTGCTATATGAAAATGATGCAGCAGGGAAAAGGTTCTATTACATTGCCTTGGGAAATATAAACATATAAAAATACTTATCACAAAGCACTGTAGTTGGCAGGTGGTCAAGGCCATACTCATTCATTCAAATATTATCTTCTCCTTGAATTCAAAATAATTTATCAAGTACATATTTTATATGTTATCAGCAATGCACAGAGCTGAAGACATTGTATGAGAAGCATGGTCCCTACTCTTAAGGAATTTGCAGTCAAATTGTGGAAATGTACATACCTGGATTTTAGTAAAGCTTTTGTCAATCTCTCCAGCTGTCCAACATTTAAGTGGATTAAGAATTGGTTGAATTATAGGAGCCTAGTGTAATAGTCAATGAATTGCTATTCAATCCCAGGAGATACATCTGACTGGTGGATCTGTCCTTGTTCCTATTCTGTGCAAAAATTTTCTCAGTGATTTGGATTAAGGTATATGTGTGTCATGCTTTTCAAATTTATAGATGCCACAAATCTAGTAGTAGAGTAATAGTAAACAAAATATAGCATACAAAGGGCTAGTAAGCAAAGAACAAATTCAGACTGGGCCAAATATCTAAGAAGATGAAAATAAATAGGCATAAACATAAATGAATGTACTTCAATTTAAAAAAAATAATTTGCAAGCATGTGTAAAACACTGACATAAATGGAGATAACTAATTAAAAAGATATTAATTACTCATGATTGATTTACATAAATATAAAAATGATGATATTTGTAAATTAATTTGCTTTTTGATGTTATACCAATTAAATTACTGAAAAGATATTTTCTAGAATTAGACAAAAATTAATTTGGAAGAAAAAAGCATAGATTCTCAAGGTAAATATTTTTTAAATGTATGAAAGCAGAGAACATGACAATACAAAACTCAACCTACATTGCAAAGTAGTAGCCAACAAAATTATTAATTATTTGGTATTGGTGGAGCCAAAATGGCAGAGTAGCAGAAAGAAGTACAATGAGATGTTTTTCAAAACTAGTCCAAGTAGATGTAGAAATTGCACCAGATCAAAGCCTGATGGGTAAATCTAAGAAAAAGTCATAGTGAGTCCTTTTTTCCAGCCCAGATCCATACAGGAAGACTGCTAGAAAAGATTATAGACACTGGGGGACTATTGGACTGTCCAGCAGTTTGTAGCATGACGAGCTATAGTACAGGAAGAAGCTGTACCCCACAGCCAGAGAAAGTCCTGGACTTTTACCAGGGCACTGTAACTCATACAGGTGCAGGAACAGGTCCCAACTGACATCTTAGTCATTCACAACTCAATTCCAGGTCACAAATACAGGGACAGACCTGTGCCAGGGATGGCCTTCTGGAGTAAGGTGTAATTGTAGGCCTTTGGACAGTATACTGAGAAAGAAGCAAGTTCAGAAGCAAACAGCAGCTACATTGCTTAAAGTCCAGGAACAGTCTCAGTTTCAACTTCTAGCCCACTCTAAAACCTGTAGCAGAATCATCAGGGTTGTCATCCCAGGTCAAAGAGGAATCTGTAATTCTCTCACTCTGTACCAGCAGAATTTCCCAACTGTCTAAAGTGGCTAACTCCAGCAGCAGTCTACAGTGGCTCAGATCCAAAACCGGGTTAGCGACCTGCAGAGACCATAATAGAATGGGTAGGGGGTGGGAATGGGTGGGGACATCACACTTAGCCCTGGAACTGACCATGTTGGGAGAGCTGATAAATTATGCATCTTCAGCCTGAGCTGTCACTGAGATACTAAATACTATAATGCTCAGTATCCCAAGATTTTAAGAAATGTTAGAAGCAAACTGTTTATATATCTTCAAACCAGAGGACAAGGTAGAAATAGAATATTTTAGTAATCTATTCAAATAAATCCTAAAATGAACATTGCAAGGTCAAAGAAAAAAGTACTGTAATCAGTCAGAAAGAAAGAGTTCAGTTACTAAGGAGGCACAGTTAGGATCACACACATTTTAACAGTCATCATTATGAAGGAGTGGAAAGTTTAGAATACAGTCTTGTAGATGGCAAAGGATATAGGCTTACAACCAAGAATAACTTGCCTAGCAAAAACTGGGTAAGTCTAACTGCAGCAAGGTCGATTTGGATTTATCACACTCACCAGGTAGGTAATCCCTCAGCTTGCCATTTGATCCATTGCCAAATTCAATCTCGTAATCCCAAGGGATATGTTTAGATATTTTCTTCCTAATGGATACAATTACAGCCTCCTCATTAATTAATTAGTTTGAACCTCCACTATATAGTTCCTAAACATTCCTTATTTAACGAATTGTAGGAACCTCCATTTCTAATAATAACTACCCATTTCTCTATATAGCAAATTCTTTAATCTCATCTGACTAAATAAATATTAAAACAATGGGACATGTAATTTATTAACAAAAATCATTAAAAAACAAAGGCATAGATAATTATTTACAATAATTTGACTATAAGAAAGATCACATTCAGATTTGCCTCAAATCTTCATTGTAACAGCCAATAATTTCTCTTCGCTTCTGCAAACACAATTTCAACATTCAGTTCACTTCCAATATTGAGTAATATCTTTGGAGAATTCTCTTCATGTTTCTGCTCGACATGCATTAAATATAGCCCTTTTCTGAAGAACTAATAAATTTACAATAGTCTTTTTAATTTCCTTTCCTTTTTTATTCAGTAAGTACAGGGAACAGTTTTGCCAAATTGTGAATCTACCAATTACTCATAAAATTCTCCTTTTAAAATGTTTCTCCATTAAATGAGTTAAGACAGTTCTGAGGTTTAAAAAAAGGATCTCCACTTTTCTCTCTGTTTTATCTATGAGTTCCCAAAAATCCTCAAACATCAAAATTAATCCACATATATTCTCTCTGATTTTATAGAGAGAAGTATCACATAACAAGACAATTTTCAACTACAGATTTAACTACCAACTCAAATTGTTTTTTTCCCCAGCAATGTTATATTTGGCTTTGCATACATTCTCTATAGCACCTAAACTAGAGTGTCTATAATAGAGTTCAGTGAAACAGGTGTTATATAAGTATGGAGAGATTCAACACTCACAAATTCTCTACTAATTAAGGAATCATTTGGCCATGGCAACCCATGAAACAATGAAAAATTATTTTTACAATGTTCCTCAATCTTATATATGCAACTTTGACAGAAATAATAGCAAAAGGGGGGGGAGGTTAGGAGATTGTATGAATCATATAATTTTAGACCACCTACATACATTAATCTAATTATAAATGAACTAAATGTTAGGCAAATGTCCAATGAGCAGCAAATAGATATGCTATTAGAGGAAGCAAATCATTTTGATATTGATATTTTTCTGTATAAATTAAATGAGAATATAGGAGAAACTTGAGGGATGATTCCCAGATTCTCCTGTCCCTTGGAGAGGAGAATAAATAAATGTTGAGGTTTCTTTTCATAATTTGCTTAAAGGAAAATATAAGAATATATAATATATAATATATTAATATAAAAAATATAATTTCAAGGAAGTCTTGGTCATCTCACCTCATCATCCTTTTTTTTTCCTGCAAGGCAATCAGGGTTAAGTGACTTGCCCCAGGGTCACACAGCTAGTGAGTGTCAAGTGTCTCAAGCCAGATTTGAACTCAAGTTCTCCTGACTCCAGAGCCCATGTTCTGTCCACTGCACTACTTAGCTGCCCTTTGGTGTCTTCTTAATAAGAAAAAGGAGAAAGAATTAAAGGGAAGGAAGGAAGAAAAGAGAAGGAGAAAGAAAGAGGAAAGAAAGAAGAAAGGAAGGAAAGAATGAAGGAAAGTAAGGAAAGAAATAAGCATTTATTAAGTGCTTACTAT